GCGGGTACACCTCGTCACCATCATCATATAACCTTTCAAATCCGTCGACGACGTCGCTGACGGAGGACGGGAGCGCGTTCCGCTCGCTCACGGACCTCAAGTGGGGCGAGTTTGAGAGCCTGGGTTTCGGGAGCAGCGGGGGCGACATCGGCGGGGGTGGAGGTGTGCAGGAGGGTGGGATCGAGGGGCGGCTGCGCTTTGACCTCACGGAGAACGCGCGCGCGGTGCGTGTCTTCTCTTTACTCTTTGCTTGCCTTGCACACGAGGCTGATGGATGCCCTTCCTTAGGAACGCCTCGCGAAGCGCGAGACGCTATCCTGGAACGACTTCTCGACGGCGGGCTTCTCGCGCTCGGACGCGCCATTGTCCGCGACGCTGCAGTTCTCGCCCCCCTTGACGCTCGGCACCGCCTCCGCGAACGCAGGGCCGCTCAACGCGGAGCTCACTCGCAAGCTACGCAAGGCGCACAAGGCGCTGCCCGCGTTCGGGTGGGACACCGCGCCGGTGCTGGGCCCCGAGGAGGTCGTGGAGGAGGCGTTTCTGGATGTGTTTTGCGATTTGCTGTGGGGCGGCGGGTGGATGGAGCGCGCGGCGGGCGTGGGGGGTCCGACGGCGGAGCTGGCGAGGGAGTGTGCGTGGGCGCTGGTGCGTACTTTCCGTTTCCTCTTTCACGATGCGGAGCTGACGGATATGGACTCTGTGCAGGTGGAGTACAAGTCGCGCACGGGCGCGGCGCAGGACAGCGGGAGTACGCTGGTGCTCTTCGAGGAGTTCGTCCCGCGCGAGTATCGCCTCGCGCTCGCGGGCGCCGCGCCGCCGGGGACACGGCGGCGCCTCCCATCGCTCTTCTCGCCCGCGGCGCCAAGCGGGGGCAAGACGTGGAAGCAGGCGGCGACGCTCAACGGGCGGCCGTACGTGCTCGGCGCGACGCCAACGCCGCCGACCGCCGTTGGCGCCGCGCGCGAGCTCGACTTTGACAGCATGCTGCGCCAGCAGGGCGGGACGAAGCTGCTGTCGCTCGGCGGGCCCAAGCGCCCCGTCAGCACGAACGTGGCGTCGCCCGTAGCCGCAGCAGCACCGGAGCCCGCGCCCGCGCTCGCGATGGCGCGGACGCGCAGCGACGAGACGCACGACTCGAGCGGGACGGAGGGGGGCGGGACGGGCGCGGGGAAGCGCCAGTCCAGCGCGCGTTTTCGGCTGCCAGGCGGGATGATCCCCGGTCCTAGTCCTGGCAGCGGCCCACGGGTGCGCGCGGGGATGGCGCCGGCCGAGTACGCGGCGGTCGAGTTTGAGACACGGCTCGCGGGGGAGAGCGACGACGAGAGCCCGGGCGCGGCGGACGCAGAGAAGGAGGCAGCGCGGCAGCGGCGGCGGGAGAGCGCGAGCGACGCGTGGGTCGACATACTCGTGGGGAGCGTGCAGGCGCGGCGGCTGGGCGGGCAGGACGCGGAGATGCCCAGGGGGAGCGCGCGGCGGCGCGGGTTCGTGGGGACGCCGGATCCGGACCTTGCGAGCATGGAGGTCGCGCAGGCGCTCGCGGCGGAGACGATGGGGCGCGAGATGAGCCCCGACCCCGAGGAGGGCGCGGCGCGCAGGCGGCAGCGCGAGCAGGAGCGGCTGCGCGAGCAGGAACGGCTGCGCGACTCGGATGTCGTGGAGATCGAGCGCGTGCCGCGCGCGAGCGAGCAGTCGGAGCGCAGCAACGAGGACGACTACCCCCCCACCGAGGACGGCGACGACTACGGCCCCGCCACCGACCACGAGGACGCGGACGAGGAGGACAGCATCACCCCTGGCGCGGAGATACACCCCGTACTCAGCCAACGCGCGGAGGCGCGCCAGCAGCGACGGCTTGGCTACTTTGACCTCCACCCAGAGCGCCGCCCGGCATCCGTGGCCACCAACGACGACGATCCGCGGAGTCTTCTCAGCGGGACAGACAGCGACGACGAGCCCGACGTCGTCGTCCCCGTGCCCCGCAATCTCGACATCCGCCCGCTGCCCACGCCCACCAAACCCGCGACCGTCTCCCCCGTCTCCCCCGTCGACGTCCCCGAATTCGACGACGCAGCCAACAAGCGCCGCGCAGAGCGCGAGAGCGGCGGCCACTCCAAGACGGACTCGGTAATCCTCACGCCCGCCGCAAACTCCATCGGCAACGGAAATGGGAACGGGAACGGGAACGGAAACGGAAACGGGCACCCTGCGATCGCGGCGCCGAAGCCCGCAACGCCGAGCAAGACGTCCGCGCTCATCGATATGTTCCGCGAGCGCGAGCAGGGCCGCGGCTCGCCGGCCAAGGGCGCACCTGCACCTGCACCCGGGCCCATCGCGCCGTCGCGGCTGCCCGTGCGCACCGTTTCCCGTGATGACAAGCCCGCGCCCGCGCTGCCCAAGACGCCCCCCGCCCCCGCGGCGGCGCCGCTCCCCAAACCGCCTGCGTCTGCGCCTGCACCTGCACCTGCACCTGCACCTGCACCCGCGCCCGCGAAGTCATCGCCGCCGCTGCTTGACCCCGCAGCGATTGTGCCGCCACCTGCGCTCCTCGTCGACAGCGGGCGCGCAAGCCCCGCGCGGTACGTGCACGGCGCGCCGCTGCATAATGTGCTCGAAGAGGAGGAGGAGGAGCCGTGAAGCGTCACCACCCACATCGCATACCATAGCGCATAACCCACCACACACACGACACCCCACCACGCTCAAAAAGCGCACCCTCAGCGACCTCGAAATCGTCCGAGAGCCAGATTAACCTTCAAAAACTGATACACATGGCATCCCCATCCCATTCCCGTCTCCGTCTCGAGCTCTGTCCCTCTTCCATTTTCCTTTATTACATATGCATGCTTCGGGCGCTCACTTAGAATCCCCTTCATTTACCTCACCTCGTAGCGTCGTATACCCGATGGAGTCCGATACTGCTCTTCTTTTTTCTCTCAAGTTACCTCTCATTGCGACACTCGTATCATAGCGCCTCCCACTCCTTACTCTCTTTCTTTTTCTTTTCCATCTCGATACTTACTTATTCTCTCCTTCTCGACTCAATACCTGCATATGCTATCCGTCCTCGACATTGTCTGTCTTTCGAAACTACTTATGAATAAATGGTCGATTTCGTACTGGGTCTTTCATTATCACGCGTGTGTACAAGCCTCCATCAAGTCCTTTCGCGCCGGGTACGGAATACAGGAAGGTAGGAAGTACGGTAGTGATGGTAACTCGAGCGGGGACAAAGATACGTCAGCGTGCTGCTCATACTGGTGCTGGCTTTCCCGCAGAGCCGATGCCGCCACTCAGGGTTGTGTAGGTGCCGGAGAAGGCGGACGCCGGCTGCGAGCGTGGAGGGGTGCCTTTGGGCTGTACGAAGTTCAGAGTCAGTGGGGTAACTAGATGAATACGCGAACTGCACGCACCGATGAGAAGCCAGGGAAGGGGTACGTGACGCCGCCGTACGTCGTCGGCGCCGTCTGCGGCGCGCCTTTTGCGGAACTGGGCTTCCTCGCAATACCAGGCTTCGCGGGCGCAGAGTGTGGGTCGTACGCCGGCGCATACGTCGTGAATGGCGCGGGGCCCCGCATCTGCGCCGCATCGATGACGTACGCGTTCGCTGCCACCGCGGCCTTCGCCGCAGCGTACTTGCGGCGGCGGTACACCAAGTACGCGCCGCCGCTGAGGAGACCGACGAGCAGGATGACGGTCACGGTGAGGGCGACGATGGTGCCGGGGGTGAGCTTGTCTTGGCAGACGGTCGTGCCGGAACTGCGTCGTCGCCGCGTGTCAGCATGCGGAGGGTGGGAGGCGGGGGAGACGTACTCAGACGTGGCGCATACGCGGTCCGCGCGCACAGAGGGCAGTGCGAGGAGGAGCAGTGCTACCTGCATCATCGCTGCAAGCCAGTTAGCGGGAGCTGGGCCGGCGAACAGTGAGATGACGCACCGTATCTGGAATCGTACTTCGCGTTCATCATTACTAGCGTTCGCGTATACAGCACAGAAAAGTCAAGTCCAAATCAAGCGAATGAATGGACCGGTGGTGGTGGCAAGGGAGGGCAGACGCGGGCTTGAGACAAGAGGGAGGGAAGACCGCACAGCAGTCGGGGGGCAAGGAAGGGAAGGTGGGGGGAAACCGCCAGGGAAGTCACCCTTCGTATTCCGCTCCGCGGTCTATTAAAGCGTCGTGGGGGGACGGGATCGTCGCGAAGCGATGTGCTGGCGGTTTGCTGATTCAATCAAGGCTAATTCGGCATACGTGGATACGTCGCGCTACTTGCTGGTAGACTTCGGGCATTTATGCCGACTCGGAGAGTTGTGGGCAAGACTCGAGTGAAGACCCGAATATTCCACTCCTTTCCAAGCCATAGGAATAGGCTGAATGAGAATCCAGAGACAGCAGGCAGTGCAGAAGAGATCCAGAAGAGCCCAGTTCAATATGAAACGGAGTCTTGCTGGCCGCACAGCGACAGGGGTCGACCGCTGTTGATGATGAAGGTTGGGAGGAAACGGCGTCTTGCCCGATTTGGTGCTCTGCCCGTGCACGTGCACAGGCGCCTAATTGAGCGCCGAGCGGTTGAACTTGAATTCAATTCCGTTGCGAAATCCTTTGCGAAAGAAAACTGGGGACGAAACATCTGCGGCCTAGGCCGGCAACTACTCCATGGCGTTCGAAATACATACCCCTGCCCATCCGCTTCCGACGAAAATAACTTAAATAGCCCTCAACCAGTTGAATTGTAAGGCGGTGAGACCACCTGGAAACGGTCAGAATTCATAGACAAAATAGATTGGAGGGCAAGATCCTATTCTTTTGATTTTAATTACCAGTGCATCCCTCCCGATGTCGTTAAGATTCTGCTTCGGGCCGGATGTATACATGTAAAATATGGTGATGGTTTGGCCGAAAAACACCAAGTTGAACCGTCAACTGGATTGCTTGCATACAATCCCAGATGATCACATTCGACTCAAAATCCTAACAGAGGTCCAACGCAGACTCGAGAGCCAGTAGACACGATGGCGGAAGGTATCGCACCTCGATTATTGATGGTCCAGTTTCCTGGTTCGAATCCAGGTCGAGTCTTGCCAGACATTCTCGATTATAATGTTGTCTCCCATCTTCCCAGTAGAATTCCGGGACATGTGAGCGCTTGCACTCCACGTTGATATTTTCTTTTGGAAAAATTCCTAGACTGACGGGTTGTGGTGCATGAGCCGTGGGTAGCGAAACTTTACTGGAGGGCCGCAGCGAGGTTCGCGCGCATGGATTGTCGAAAGGTAATGTCTGCTATGGTGGCGCCCTAATTCAGGTCCTCTCACCAGAAATTCTCTATATCGAGGATTTATATTCTGCAAGATCGCCCCTGAGCTCTGAACTCTGAGCCCTAGTAGACACAGCCACAGTTTTTGCACCAGTGGCAAATTGATAGGAGGCGCAAAAAGTTTACGAAGAGCAGTTCGGCGGTGGAAAGTAGTGGCGCAACGCCCAAGCAGCATTCTGTTTGTTTGCATGTCAATCCTGGACGTATAATTTTACGATGTCGTACCTTGGCGTGGATTCTTTCCCAGCCAAACACCGGTGATAGAACGCAAAATAAGACTATGGAGCGCACCATTGGCGGAGCCCATTGGGAAACGGAGTCTGGATTCCCACAGACACATGGCAGAATGACGGGCACGACTAGGGGGTCCTCACGAGTTGACAAAGATGCGTCCATAAATTTGAAAATACATCCTATTATACGTACAGGGCGGTATACAGTGGTACATTTGTGGCCACAATTTGAGGCTGGTTCAAGACGCATGCACGGTTTCAACACGCATATCCTTGAAGCTTTCGGCCTTCAACACCTCTGATGCAAAGAGGTTCCGGATTGTCTCGAGCCGTGCCTTGCGGCTTTCGTCGGCACTTTCCAGGCGCGGAGAGAGGGATTCGAAGACGTTTGTCTTCCAGGTATTTAACGCGAGCTGTGGGTGATCAATCTTCCATCGAATACATGACACAGAATCTGTACGCACCTCCCTCACGATCATAATGTCCTTGCGTCCCTTGGCGCGCAAGTGGTTAATATAGTGTTTTAGGTAGGCCAGCAGACGGTTGACAGTCTCCACCCCTCGAGAAAAATTATCCCATTGGGTGTCATAATAGGCTGGTAGTTCGGTGTCATCGCTGGGCGCGGCCTGCGGCGATATACGATATATGACGTCTGAAATAATCCATACGACTTGCCGAAGTACTCACCGCAGTGATGCTCTGCGTGTATTCTGTAAAGAAGCCCTGCACTTGGTCGTAGAGATCTTCGGCATCCATTTAGCAACCCGGATGGTCCAACAAAAGAAGCGCACGTCTAGTTCTGTCTGGATTCCCTTGCGCTATGATTATCCTCGGCTCCAGATGAGTCTTCCACAGCTCCCTGGCTTCGCTATGGGCCATTGCTGGGGATCCAGGAAAGACAGGAGAGGGTACAAAAGACAGTAGGTGCGCAAGTCAGCCGGAGGTTTGCGCAGACTGCGCCAAAACTACAACACAGTTCTGCGTGTATGGTGGAAGAAGCCAAGAGCCTTGAGCCTCGAGGCGGTGGCGCATCGATGGGAATCGACGGCCCGGGTGGGCCGTCGGTGCTGATGCATAAAGACGCCAAAGTTTCAACAAAGTTTAGCAAACAGCTTTGCTCCTTGCCTTTGACTCTTCGTAACCTACCCATCTCGGCCCCTAAAACCTATATTGTTGCCCCTCGGTCTTTCGATTCGTCTTCGCGATCGTTATTTATCAAAATTCCCTGCGGGTCTAAGATCATTCGGAAACGGCGCTAATTCTCTGGGTTTTACTTGCAGGACATCTGTTGATTTCTGACTCAAGAGCTCGATGCTTCAGTGCTTATGTCTTAGGTTGAAGTTCCCGCCCGTTAGACGTCTCGAATTACAGTTGAACCGTTCGCGTTCAAGTAAGCCCCAGGAGATCTGAAGCGGATATAGGTGGTCGGTCCCGACTTCCTCTGCTCTCCTCTAAAACTCACTGCTTATACATTCAGGACGTAGCCAATACATTGTATTTAGGATCGACGCACATCCTACTTACTGTACGCAGAAAATAGATCCCGACGTGCGCAAATTTCATGCCCACTCTGTGGCATTCGGCGCTCGATTCCGAGGCACCAGGAAACATCTGTCCGACGACCTTCAATGGACGAAATCGTTCGCTTGGACCTAGCTTCAGGCAATAGCATAAGCCCAGCTATCTCCCGACCATCAAGAAGTGCCAGCGGAGGGGTTCGATGAGTGTGAACATAGAAGGGCGCCGGAAGAGGTCAAAATAGACCAGATAGGAGAGATGGAAACGCACCCAAGATGTTGCGGGAAGGCGGCATGGCCAGAGAAGTGTTTCGTATACGGGCGAGGAATGAGAGGACGAGGACGAGGAAAGTAGCGCTCGACATTTGCGTGAACTACTGATTGAGTGGATGTGAAACCGCGACATATGTTGGGCATTGGAAATCGTCTTGCGAGTTTGAGAGGAGACCCCTCGAGCCCTCCAAACCAGTACATTCCGTCCCGCCGTCCCTTCACGAACCCGTTCACACCGGCGCCGGCGACGCGACGCGTCTGTTTGTACATGTTAGCAGCGTGATCGCCGGCGCCCGCAGTGCTGCCAGCACATTGCCATCTCACCTTCTCCCCGCCCGCCGCCTCGTCCCTCCCCACCCCGCGTCCTGCCGTCCAGTCCCGCCCCGCGTCCCGTCGCCCGCCCCACTCGGCCGCTGCCCGCTACAGCGCAGAGCCAGTTGTCGCAGCGTCGCCTCCGCGCCTCGCCGGTTTCGCGGTCGTACGTCCACTCCCTCCACCCACGCCCATTCCACCTCTTCCCTTCTAAACTGCGCCGAACGAAGGCTAGCTGAGCCTCAGTGTCGGTATTCCTAGCCCTCAATTTGGCTCCGCGTTCTTTCCTACCCGCGCTGATAGCCTACTCGAACGGTACGCAACTCGGACACTTCCCCATCTCCTCGCCCACTAACGGGCCTGTAGCTTAACCTTACCCGCACCTCACGCCGCGTTCGCCACGCCACTGCACCTGCACCTGCCAACGTGTTACGCGCAGCGGGCTCATGTCGGCACCGTTTCCTTCGTCAAGCGGCACGCTGCGTCGCCCGCATCTCGTCGCATACGCGCCGGCCGTTGACGTGACCCCATCTGCGGTGAGGCCGTGGCGCCGTCATTGTTGCGGAGCCCTTCGTCGTCGCCGGACGCGGCTGTAGCACTAGATTTGGGACGGTAGGAAGGGTGAGGGAGCGTGAAGGGAGGAATGGCTAGACATTCGGTACGTCTCCGTTTCTCTCTCCTTACTGACACATCTTTCCCAGCCCTATCACCACGACATCCGATACCGCCACTCACCCCTTCCCGCCCACAGCGCGATGATCTGCACCTCTACGTCCGAATGAGCGCGCGGAATGTCGACGCCGACAAGATGAGTGGGCGAGGTGCGCGGGATACAGAATGCTCCGCGCCTCGGCCCGCCCGCGCTCCCCTGCGGCGGTGAACGCGCACGATGGACCGCATGAGCTCCACACGCCTCTTCATGCGTCGGGCACGCTGCGCGCTCCGCGGTGTTCCACCCCCTCCTCCACTGTCTCCCGGATGCTGCGCATACGCGGTGTGCCCCGAGCAGTGGCGGTGGAGTGTCCTTGCCTCTGAAGCGCGAGATGGCGGACGCACGGCGCCGCAGGAATTCATTTTGCGGGGGGAGAAGGCGAGGGGATGCCTGCTGAGGATGGCTTCTCCGTGGATCAGGTTATCTTCTAGTCTTGCTTCCCCGTCATCGCGGTGCACGCCGCACCGCCTGTTGTCGCAAGTTAGCACACATACAGACTCCGATGGTTAATGTATCGCGTACGTAGAATTCATCCGGTTTTGTTTTCTTTCTAACCTTTCGTGTTTATCTGGATTGAAAGACCAGTACCAACATTCCGCGTAGGCGGTTTCATTCCCGTGCGTTCGCGGACTCGGAGTGTGCGATTTCATTTCTTTCACTCAAAAACTTGAAATGTTCAACCAGTGTTTCGGAAGTTTCAGGCTCCGATATCCGCTTTCTTCCGGACCACATGCGGTTCACCCTTGGGTTCACTAGTAAATTGTCTGAGCACGCACCGAAGTCCAAAATAGGTTTGCAACCAGACTCACTGGAGCAGAATGCGAAAACAGACAACAGAAGGGAATCCTCAGACGCCAAAGGTGCGATCATAAAAGTCGTTTCATTGTTCCAGCGTCTAACTTTTGTGCTTTACACCCATCCTTCTAGTAGCCCAGCCCCGAAATAAATCGTTCAGTCATTGCTCGGAGCGCTTCCCCCCCCTATTCTACTTCGTGTGCTCGATCTGGATATCGGAAGACGGGCTCGGCTTGTACGGGCTCCCCGCGCGCTTCTCGTCGTCGTAAACAGCGTTCTCCGTCCTCTTGAGCATGATCTGGCGGTCGCCCGACAGCCACACGTACGCGGCGAAGAACGCGACGAACGCGAACGCGGGCGCGGACACGCCGTAAGACACGCGCGTGGAGTATTTGTCCGCGATGGCGCCCTGGATGGGTCTGCAAGAAAGCAGTGAGTCGGGAGGAATCTAATGTATTTGAAGGTGGTGTGCTTACGGGAACACGGCGCCGCCGGCGACGCCCATGACCAGCAGGGACGCGGCGCGGCGCGTGTGGCGACCGAGCCCGCTGGTCCCCAACACGAAGATGACTGTGCGTGAAGTCAGCGGATGTTCCGTGAGTTGATAAAGAGGGGTGAACGTGCCTGGATACTGGCAGCTCATCGTGGCGTAGATGAGGGTGAGGCAGATCATGCCCGCGGTTCCCGACAGCACAGAGACCAGGATGACCAGAACCGTGCCGATGACTGCGTTGACAAAGAGCACGACGGGGGCCGCGACGAAGGAGAGCACGGCCGTCATCACGAAACGCATAACTGCATTATCAGTCAGCGTGCGTCCATCCAAGGGAATAGATTCAGACTGACCCGTGAAAACGATGAGCGAGTAACTGAGAATGTTTGCAGCGTCGGCCGTGGACCGTCCCGCGCTCTCGGTCACA